CAAAGCCAAACTCAGTACAGTCAATCCTCATTATTCACAGATTCTGTATTTGCAACTTTGCCTACTTGCTAAAATTAATTTGTAACCCCCAAATCAATACTCATGATGCTTTTGCAGTTTTTCATGGACACGTGCAGAGCAGTGAAAATTGTGAGTCACCACTCTGCACATGTCTGCCTTCTCAGTGATCTTGCTGGTTAAAATGGCCATCAAAAGTAATTATTTTTTATAAAACTTTAAATGCTTAATCTTTGTTTAATGTGTCTTTTTCAGGACTTTATTTGTCCTGAAAACACACATCAAGCAAGGGTATATATTGATCAGTTGGTGAAAATGTTGTGACCAGAGGCTTGCAGGAACCTAACTCTGTATTTTTCTACAAGCAACGGTTCAATATTCAATAATTCAGCGTTTGCAGTAATTTTATAGAACATAACTACCATGAATAACAAGAATTTACAAGTGGTAATTGGGATAGCAAGGAGAAGCAAAATTCTACATATGTCAGTACAACATTCCATTTTCCCCTTGCTTCACAATGCCTTCCCATTTCCTTTTTGGGGAAAAAATGGACATAGAGTATATGTATTAGGCAGAGATTTGATTCAGTTGTTACACTGGACAAATCTATTAAGCATTAATTGCAAAACAGTAAAAGTCAGCTCCAGATTTTGGGAGTGTCTTGGACAAGGTGACCTCCGTGGGAGGAGGAGTGGCTTGCAAAATGGGCGGGACTGCTCTCTGTTGATTGCCTACTTCCTTTGGATTCCATTCCCATCGAGAGGGACAAGCAGGAAGGGCTGCTGCTAGTTCTCCCTGCCCTGCTCATTTGCTTAGCAGGACGGGGGGACAAGCAACAACAAGAAGGGAACCAAGATCAAGGGTTCCAATGTAATCATCTCTCAAGCACTGCTCACATCAAGGTCAGCTTAGTTTCAACAAAATGGTTATAGTCTGGACTCTTAGAATAAGCCCTGAAATCAGGTTGCAATCCCAGAATTATTTATTGTAAACCAAATTCTGCAAAGGAATAACATGTTAGGAACACAAAAGTATAAAGTTTTGAAATTTTAATGTATAATGTTTGTTGTATTATACTAATGTCTTATTAGGTGTCTTACACAGCGTTTCCTGCAGAGGGGAGTCTAAACATGCAAGATGGCAGTTGGGGAATCATAACCAAAGGCCTGCCTGTTTTGCAAATGCACTGACGTTCCATGAATGAACAAGAGTGGTGGGGGCTTCAATTGCAACACTGCAAATGCCATCTTCCGCAACCTTTACAGTAAATGAATAATTAAGGTAGTCCTTGTTTAACAACATTAATTGGGAGCGGAAACTCCATCATTAAGTGATGCAGTAATATGACGCAATAATATATTAAAAAAAAAACCACGGGACCGCGCCACTTAGTGATGGCAGTTCCAGCAATCCCAATTGCCATTGTTGAATGAGGACCATGCAGGTTAAGCAAGGACCTCATGTGACCGCGACTTCCAACTTCCTGCTGGCTTCCTCATTGACTTTGCTTGTGGGATGCCAGCAGGGAAGGTTGCAAATCGTGATCACAGGGCCACAGGGACACTGTGACAGCCATAAGTATGAGGTCTGGTCATAGCTATCGCTCATTCAGAACTGTTGTAAGTTTGAATGGCCACTGAAAAAGTAGTCATTAAACAAGGACCACCTGTATACTGCTCATTATATTTTCTAAATTGGATTGGTATTATTACTGATTTTCTGACAAGGTTACGTTTGTATAGCTCCAAGGGGTATCTGCAGAGAGGAGTCAAAAAAGTCAAGATGGTAGTCACAACCATGCAGTCAAAACCCTGCCCTTTTTTACATGCATCCTGATGCATGAAAGGGGGCGCGGCTTTGATTACATGATTGTGGCTGCCATCTTGACTATTTTGACGCTCCCATGGACACCCCAATAGCATTACTAGTTGAACTGGGCTGGGGATCCTGAACTTTCCAGTTCTCATCTAGACAAGGAAGTCTGCGTAAAGGTTCTGAATGGCTCTAACTAGACTGTGCTTTTATAATGGTACAAAAATAAGGAAATGCATACTGAATATGAGTTAAAATTAGAGAAAAGCATGGAAAGATTGATATATACCAAGGGATCGCTACAAAATGAGACCACAAACTTTTAAAAGCTCATATAAAAGACAGAATTAGATTTAGCCAAAGGAAAAGATATTTTAACATAGTGGTTTTTCAGGATTTCAAAACATGGGTATGCCACCTTAAATTGTATCTTATTTCTTACTGGGTACTCCCTTGCCATCTTAGACCTAGTGATAAAAGCTTTTTTTAAAAAAATTAAATATTTTCCCCCTTTTAAAAGTCTCAGTTCTCACCCCATTACCTACTTAATTAAGTTTTGGGTGTTTAAAATTGCTAATCACATCTTTTGGGAGACTGTACATTTTAAATCACAATTATATGATGAATATTTTATGATATATATCTTTTGCGTATAATTAAGAATAAAAATTTAATCCCAAAAAGATGTTTAATAATTTATACTTCTTTGGGGTTGATTGAGGACATTAGAGGGCTAGGGGAAATGATTTAATTATGTCCGACTCAGAAACTTCAAGTGCACTTTTGTTCCTGAAATTAAGAACTATAGTTAATAAAAATTGAGTAGCCTATGCTACTATTCAGTTCAAGATGTTTGTTTTGCCCAGTTTATATCACGTGATAAGAACTCTTTTCTTCTGTTTTTGTTTTGAGCAGGTGTAGGTAAGCCATAAATTAACTAATTATTTATTTATCTATCAAATTTATATAGCTGCCCATCTCGCAAATGTGACTCCAGGTGGCCTACAATAAAACAAACAATTAAAAAACAAGTCTAAACTAACCATTAAAAACAATTCAACCTAAATATAAATAAGGCTGCGGGAGAATGGACCAACGTTATACACATAACACAACCATCTCACAGGCTCCCTATTCCATGACATCCCTGAGCCTGCTGGAAAAACCACATTCTTTGTCCACATTCCTCACCATTCAACTGATTGGCTACCAGCTGGACAGTGGAGAAAAAAAAAAAATCAGCTAAAGGTCCTTATAGGGATTGTAGTGGAGGGCAAAGACAGAATCTCTTGCACTTGCTTTCTCCCAGCAACCACAAAGAGGTGGCAATCCCCTTTTCTCCTTGCTAGACACGGTAGAGAAATAACATTCTTGATCTGAATCACTGGCAAAGGTGGGAGACAGAAAGATTTTAAATCCATCCCCAGCTGTCTTAGTGCTGACATAAAAGGGAATCTGACTTTCTGCATGAGGGATCTTCATGTAGTACTTCTTACCACAAGATTTGAGAACTGCAGATCCACAAAGACATGGGGGATTTCATAGGACTCATTCCCAATTGCTCAGGACATCTGACCAGCTAATAAAAAGCTACTTATGGAGATCAAGAATTTCTTAGAAACACAGTCTGATGTAAAAGGCAAACGTCAGAAAGAAGCTTTGGAAAATGTCCTTGCAGCAATGTAGGTATTCTGAGGATCTGCTAATGTACATATGTAGGTACACATTTGATCTTCATACTTGTAAATGAATATGAATTAAAATTAACAACAGCACACATTTCTCTTTAAAATAGATTATATACCAATCTCCAATCTAAAAAAAATCCAATATATTTACAATATCTATAGAACTATTCTATAGAACTTTATAGCAACTTTATAACTAGAAATCTTATAGCATTTGTTCTGAAATTAGCATTATAGTTAAGAACTCCTTTGGTATAATTAGTCATTTTGCCATAATAGCATGCCTGTGGATTTCATTTCCAGTGTAGAATTCAAGTTTATGAAGAGTGGGGTTAGAATTTGAGAATTTTAGCTATACTATTCCTCTTTTGCAGTGGATTTCGTTTTTTAAAGGAAACTCTAGGCGTCTCTCTCAAATAACCTCGAGCCTTACAAATTACTTATTTAAAGATTGGGTCTTCCCACTTCCTAAAGACTTGGATAGTTATATTGCAGCATCATAAGTATAAAAGATTTGCTTTCCCAAAAGCTCATAGCCTAAAGACCAATTAAATAATTAAACCATGTGAACAATATGTGAACAACATCAACTAAAGTGTCTCATAGGAAATGATGCCCTACCAGTGAGGAAGCAAAGGAAAGGGAATTAAGCTAGCAGACTTAGAGCTGAGTGATTGTTATGGCAAAGGCAGTGGACAGATCAGTCAGCATGTTGCAAAGAATTTGGAACATAATAGGAGGGAGGGAAGATTTTATCCATGCAAAAGACCCTAAAATAAAGATGATCTATTTACAAAGATTTTTGTATGCCACAGGACTACATAATTATAACTATGGTATATACAGGGTAAAATACTATTCCAACTGCAACTGATTGCTATGGTTGCACCAAAGAAATGAAATTTAAATTTGCATACTAATGTAACTAACATCCAGACATTGATTGATTGATTGATTGATTGATTGACTGACAGAGGATGAGATAGATGATAGAGATAAAAACTTGATGTGACATGATGGTCATGGACACATGCTGTACATCAGCACCCAAATGTTCCTGTGATCCTACTACTCAAATTAAGTAAGAATTGTAATAATTAACTGAAATGTAAAGAAAATATTAAAGAAATGCTATAATCTTGTGAGGTTTTGGTGTTCTTGTAAAAGATTTCATGAGACCATCAAAATATCAAAGATTCTAAGTGATTGGTGAGTGGCAAGAATCTGAAATGTTGGTTGATCCTTGATGTAAACAAGGGCATTCAACAAATGCAAACTTCATTTTTAAATCATTTGAAATTTTGAGATGCAACAAGGACAGGAGAAAAAAATCTGAGTAATTGAAAGAAAAGTAGCGGCATGAGATAAAAGCAACTGTGTTGGTTCCCATGCTTTCTTGTCCACAAAATCTAAGTCTTTGAAGACACATTGTATTTTCAACACAACTGTACAATAAATAGATTCAATATTTTATTTTAAAATATGCTTACAAGTTCTACAGAATCTGACCATTAATATACTTGAGCCAAACTAGGTACAAAATGTAACTTCATTACATTGTAAGAAGAAAAAAGAACCTATTTATATTAACCTAGGTTTCCTTCTTTAGAAGACTGTTTTCAGTGGGATTTAAGCTGTTACATTTTACACACATTAAAATTGTCCTAATTAATTCATCAGAACATCTACTTGTTGAAATGTAGCAGCACATTTGGGATAGAGATGTCCTTGACTATAAAGCCAGGGTCATCATCTTTTGAGAGGCATCTTGTAACTTTTTTACCAGTGTGCAGCCTGGGATGATGAATATTAGGATGATCAGTATGATTCTATGATGCTCTGGAAAGCCCTCAGCTCTTCACCAAAAGGCTATCACTTAAAAGAGCTTTTTAAAGCTCAGTTACACTGCTCAGGAATCAACCTATCATCAAGCTTGCTGTATATTAGTGTTTGTGACGTTTTGCCTTCCTATATTCAGAGAATAAAAAAGATGAATTGCTTCCTAACAGAAGGAATACCTCATACATGCGTATGTGTATTTGTATGTTTTACTAACAAAACTATCCTGTCCAGTGTTTATCACTTTTTGTCCTACCAAGATTCCTTGCTATATTACTTATAAGTTCCCATTTGCTTAACACCTCCACTATTTTTATAATTGCAGTCTGTAAGCCATGAGGGTACAGATGCTAGTTAGAAAGATTCCTTAGCTGCTGAAAGCCCACTTATTTGGTTTGGTAATTGAGCATTTACATATATTGGCATCTGCTATATAGATCAATGTCCAACCCACATTCTGTTTCCAATTTCCCTGTCATTTGAATTTCACTGGGACTTGTTTCATTGCTGAGCACCTTTAAATCCTCCCATATATTTATATCACTTTCTTCCTGTTTGAATTTCATTCTTTGCCTCACCTACTCTTATTTTGACCTTCTGTTATGCCTCTAGTGAAGGTATAAAAGATTGCAGCAAAGCATGTATAAGCTTCCTATAATACCTAGTAGTACTAATGCTATAGTTTAGTATTATAGTAGAGTACATTGATCGGTTGACAGTTTCACAATCATTTTCAAAGGCTGCAAATTGTGGCAATAGCAAATGGCTGAAGAAATGGAATGCATTAATTTTCATGACTCATAAGGGAATAAAATGGAAAGGCTTTCTATTTCAAAAATAACCCTTACTACTAAGATTTCATTGTTCTGAAAGTACAGAAGCAATACATTTCTAGTTCATTAATCTGAAGACCATCTAGACAGACTAGAGTTGGAGCAAAGCTAAATGTGACTTCACGGAATAAATGCTGAAGTGTGATGCATTGATAACTGTTGTTTTTTGAAGGGAAACAGAATAGTTGGTAGTAATTTATTCTTGAAATACAGTTTCAGGGATATCTGAAACACACAGCACCAAATGTAACCAAGGCAGAAACTGTTAGGGCATTGGGACAATTACAGAAAGGTAATCTGATGATCCTATGGTGTAGTACAGATTACCAATGAACAGAGGTATCAAACTTGTCCTAGAGTTAAATGGACTTTTAATTCTAGAGCAGGGGCGGACAAATGTCATCACCACAAACCCTCTCTGAAAACCAGTTATGTGGTCTTTCATCCTTTTGAAGCAGGAAATAAAAACTGAAGGATGCATCCTAAAATCAGATTAACAAAGTTTAAGAAGCAAAGGAAATGTCCAAAGCTTCCTCCCAAAAAATAAAATTTCAGGTAAAGTTTCAAAGAAGGTGGCATAATTTGGAATCTAAAAGCAACATTTATCAAAAATTTTCACAGATGAAAACATTCTAAAATGTGTAACAATCAAAACTCAAGCGTTCTTAAAATTAATACTAACTGTGAAGGTTGGAACTAGACTGTCATGCTTACAGAATTTTTTTGGAAAAAAATGGGGTTTTCACACAACTAACATTCCATAATCCAATACAATTAATTTGGAATAATGACCATTTCATACAGTGAAACCCTACCCTTTTGCAACTTTAGGCATTATTCTGTACGGTAGATAAAATGTTTCAAGAGTAAGGGTAAAAAAGATTAGTAGGGTTTCATTGCATAACATGAAATGTGCCTACTCTTAATATATCATATCTGATATTCATCTGATCAAAATTCATTAGAAGCTTAAGAATGTCTTGTTTTACTCTGAATGACCATCTTTGGCTAAAACTAGGATGTCCCTCTGTACCACCTCACTTAAAAGCCTGCCACTTGAAATGCTGGTTAAGTCAAACTTTCTAGGACAAATCACTGGCTCTGCTTACTTTTGCCAACACTTTAATTTCCAACTGGGGAAAAAACATTATCTAAGACCTTACTTTCTTAGGTTTCCCCACTCAATTCCTATTTTCACTTGGCCCCAACAGAACTATCTAGAAAGTCAGAGTCCTTTAGCTAGATTTACAAAATGATAGATCCAAAATCCCTTGTCTTAAGGATCTCTTTCATTCCCCTTTCATGCTCCTGAAATACCTCCATAGAATCACCTCTGCCACCCACAGTAGAGCACCCATGCTAGCAAGGCTCAATACACTACCCTCAATAGTGATGCAGGGAAATTTTAATAATATTCCTTATGCAGAGCACTTCTCTATTGGCTTGGTGACTATTACTGAATCAGTAACAAGTATTTTACTTCACCCTATATCATACTTGGTTAACAAGGCTCATTTCTCTACTTCTACTTGCTGTATTGGTTGTTTAGAAATGGAAGTTGTTTATTTCTACTTGCAGACTCTTCAGCAAAGATCTCCAGGAATGTAGCCAAGTTCTGCTCAATTGCTATTACCATTAGGTGGTCTGGGATTAATCTTTTACTGGGGGGTGGGGGGTGGGGGAGCACTATTTGGTTATTTTCAATAGTTTTCAATTATTATTACCAAATTTTTACTTGTTTTAATTGCATATTTTATTACTATCAGTTTTTAGTCTCTACTTGTAAATAGAAATTGTTTCAAGAATTAAGAAAGTCTATAAATTCTAAATACTAGCCATATAGACTATACAAGGCTATCCTGAATTTATCATATTTCAAATTAATATCCTGCAAGGAACAGCATGTTTGTAGAAACAATTGTTTCTATCTGCTACAAATATCTGTTGTGGAACTGGGGTGCTCGTCTAAAGCCAAAATATCTTCTTTCCCAAGAAAAAAATTATTTCTCAAAGGCAGACACTGATTGTTAACAGCAACTATAAGACTTCAGTTTACGCTACAACTCCTTAATCCTGCAAAGTTTCAGGAGATACTTTCCTAAACCTGCTGACAACAGAACCTAATTACAATAGAAAATAAATAGGGAAGAGTTACAGTTACGCCAATCAAATTTAAGTTGCCTGCTGTTGTCAAAATGGTTTCTTCTTCATCATATTGTCGTTGCTGTACAGGCCCAGTACACAAAAAACAATGCCATCATTAAATTCAGGACTAAACATTTACAACCATTGCTGCTGAAAGTACGGGTTTGGGGGGGGGGGAGAGAGAATGGGTTGAAAATATTTATTCAAACAATTAGGCCACCATTAATCAGTACAAAAATTCAACTGTCACATTTCAAAAGAATGAATTGGCTTACAGAAATATTTCCAAATCAGGTCAACAAAAACAACAGTTCTTGGTTATACAATATACCAAATGAACACATAATGAAAACAACACTGAAACATCTTCATTTAATCCAAGGATTAGTTTGTTTTGCTAGAAGCAAGTAGAAGTTTTTGATCAAGATTAAGTTGACCTGCAATAGAGAAAGAGATTTTAGACGCACATTTGTATTTTTATAACATTCAAAATGAATTTTCAAGTAAATGTCCAAAGCAGCAGACCTTTATAAAATCACAGAAAGATTTAGTATTTCCTTGTATTTCCAAATACCTCAAAACAGTATTATTGTATGAATTTTACAAATGATAATAGAAAAACTAATTCAGGAGCTATTATCATTTCTATTATTGAATGTGTTTATTATACTGGATCACTATAAAAATTCTATCGCATCTGGCTAAAGACAGGAATAAACATGTAGAAAAAATAAATTGTTTCAGAAATTCATTTATAGAGAGAAACAAGTCCAAATAGATGCCTGTCTAAATGCATTGCAATTATGTTACAATTATTTTGCAAATAAACAGATACAGTAAGCTCTGCCTTGTCTCAGCTCATTACCGATTCAAACAATTTGCCCTTCTGGGATCAATTGTTTGCTAATAAATAATTGTTTGCAGCCACAAAATGATATTAAGTACTATTCTTATTAGTTTTGCTTCTACATCCTGTAATAAGATTCAAAACTAACCAACTCCCAGGAGTCTAACCTTAACCTTGCTGTGTTTAACAGCCCAGGAAATGATGAACCATCTGTTTCAGAAAATAATGGACAGCTCAGAGGAAATATTGTTTAATTGCAGATTAACCTCCTCCAAAAGCAGAATGAAGCATCCCTATAATTAGCAAACACAACACAAGTATAGAAACAGCTGAAGGTAAAGTCATATGACTGGGTCTTCAGTCCACTAAAGACTGTTTCCCATGTTAAATTCTTGTAATGCAAATAATTTACAGGAACGCATTTAGAAAAAGGGTAATATGGTAAGTGAAAAGAATTTTCACTAAGTTGATTTTTTGCACTCTGTACTCATGCCAGCATAACAGATAGTAGATGAAAATAAAGACTGCCTAAAAAATAAAATATGAAATTTAGAGTTGTTTAATATGGCTGACATCTAAAATACGGTGCTGTTTGGAATACTGTTGCTGTTTCTATAGTTTCTCTGACAGTATTTTTAAAGATATACATCCAAACATAGCAACAAATTTTCACAAAAAATCTCATATTATTATTCCATGTAAACCTTAACTAAGATAATAAAACGTTCTGTTGGGGTCTCTCTCTACACAGACTGAATATCCGAATATGTTAACTAAGAATGCAAAGGCTGTTCAATGGCACTGTGGAGTATCTTCAACTTACTTCATTGTAAGGTGATCTGCTGCTGCTTTAAGAGATTTCTTGAAAAAAGTTAGTAGAAATGCAATGCTACTTATATACGTACTGGAAGCAGATCCCACAGCTCAGTGGAGAACACATGCATACTACTGATTTCCATGAGAGTATGCAGTTTTGCATTAAACTATGTCATGGAAATGTCATCACCTTAAATCCTGTATTGAAAGCTGCCTTCAGCAAAGTCTTTTTTAAAAAAAAGAATACATTTTATAAGTCAAATAAATAAATAATCTTTGAAATCTATGGATTCTTCATAATTTTAGTTTATTTGCTTGAGTGCTTTGCATCACTCTAAATTAACAAGCTGACTTTGGAGATATCACTGTTAATAGCCTTCCATAAATTCTATCTCAAAATGTAGCAATCAGGTTAAATTTTAAGAAATACCAATAGTGAGATACTTTATAAGCCAATTACAAGTTCTAATGACCAACAAGATACCATGTGATCAACACAGTCTCTTAAACTGGCAGGTTTTTAGAAAGAGAGATGACTCAAAGCTTTCCTAATCACAAGAGCTCAAAATAATAATATAAAAAGGCCAAGCAAAAAAGCAGTCTACTCAAACAACAGCTCTAACTTGGGAAGTGTATATGTCTTTCTTTTCTAATATAATATACGACTGTTCAGGTGTTATGTTAAGAGATTCACCTTTCCTACAGGCATTCAGGCAATTGTATTTTCATATCCACCCCACCTTTCCTTCCAAAAGGCCACGTGCCAATGGCAGTCAGATACTTGTGGCTACTAGGAATAGTTTCCAAACCCCACAAGCATATGCACTGCATTTTCTTATCATTTCAATATATGCTAGAGACAATATAACTGAACAGTGCTGATGAGGAAAAAAACAATATATTTACTTTGAGGGTTCATATCTGAAGTCTGTGCACCTCCCCTTCTCATTTTGTCTATGCTAGCAGTGATGGCATAATTTTGCATGATAAAGTATTTAAACATCTTTTCTTGTCATTTACACAATTGCTGTATCTAACTGAGGCCCAGCATATTAAAGTTGAGAGCCGACACGCATGCAAAAATGACAATCAACAGCTTGACAACTTTAAAATCCTATACAATTAATTTTGCCTACAGGAGTGATCTTTACTTCTTCAGCTTAATTGAAAGCAATAAGCAAAAAATAGTACAATGACTTTGTATAATAGTTCATTCAGAATGAAAGAAATTTTGACATCCTTCTCTAAAACAAGTAGACAATTTTATCCCTCAGTCATCTAACAATCTACGGATATTGAAAGCTTGAAGACAAGATAAAATCAATTCCAGACCTATGGTGAAACTGTACTTTCTACCAGTAATCAATAATGCTATTTGTGAATTAAGGAAAATTAATAAATCCTGGGATAAGCACTAAGAAAAATTCAAATAGGGGTGGAGCATACTTACTTGGGTTTTGTTTCAGCATCAGTCACTTGACGAATGTAGATACCATCTTCAGGATGTTCAATGTCATCCATTTCATACATATATGATGATGCTATTGCAAGAGTAGTCCCATCATTACTGAAAGCTAGTGAAGCTATGCTGGTAGGGTACCGATGAAATTGGCAGAGTCTTTTTTTGTTGAATGGATCCCAAATATTGACAAAGCCATCAGAACCACCTACAAATAGATGTGTAAGAAGTAAGATATTAGGAACTAATTTTACATACTTCTGTAACCTTAGTGCAATTGAACTCTAAGGTTGGTGCAAAAAAGTTTTGATAATTTTCTCTATGGGAAGAGGACAAAAATTCATCACTCAAAGGCACTTGGACTGATATAGGTGGCTACAGAAGTTGCATAAATAAAATAAAATAATAAAATAAAATATCCAGAAAAGAAACAAGCCCAACAATCTGAAATCAGTGCAAATCAGTCATAAAATTCAAACTACATTTTTTCCCAGCTTACATTTGATACATTTCTCCTTTCAAATTAGCAGGAAGCCATGTTGCAGATATTCAGGAAATGTAGTTAGACCAAACAAGTAAGTTCAGGAGCCAAATACTGGACCAAGACTTCACATATTCTATTCTTCTGTACATGTATCATAAAATAGTTCAGGTGTTGGACTGGTGCTGGAGAAATCCAAGTGCTATTCCACTCCTCAGCCACAGAAGCTCACTGAGTAACTTTGGACAAGTCAAGCTACTTCACAGAGCAGTTGTTGTGGAAGAAAAATAGGTAGAAACACTATGTACATTGCCCATAGCTAACAAATAAGTAATAAAATGGGTGAAACATTTCCCATGAAAGCAGGACCACCTCACATAAAAATTAGATCTGAAAATCTACTAACAGCGATACAATAAGAAAACAGTTACCTGTAGCAAATGTGTTATGGATGTTGTGAAAAGAGATGGCATTGACAGGGTAAATCTGCTCAATGTTATTCTCCTTTAATCTGTGGCATTTGAAAGCATATTTTTTCTTCTGCACCTCCAAACTTGGATCCAAATATTCAACTGCAACACGACCTTCTATGGAGCTTAACACATAACCCTACCAAATACAAAGAGAGCCTTTATTTATTGTCACAACCAACTTTGAAAAGTTTTCCGTTGTGTAAATACTTTCTCCCACCAACATTCTACATTTGTGCACTTCAAAATGAGACATATAGGTATACTGTGAAATAACTGAGAGAAAAGATTCCAAAGATAATTGGAGATATTTTCCTACTTCATGTCTACTAAGAAACATTAATTCAAAAACAGAAAATATACCCCAACACCTTTTCAGAAGTGAAAAGTTATTTCAAAGTCTTCATTTTTGCCAACAAATAAGAGATGAAATTAATTCCTTCACTGCATTAAAAAAAGAAATCCACTTCTAGCGCTTCTTACTATTTTTTAATCAAGAATACAATTTGTTTTCTTCTTTTGTTTTCTTCCACCACAGGAAGAACAGAAAATACTGGTTAGATGCTGCACTGAATCCCACCAAAAGTAATAGTAACAGAAACAAAGACTCTCTTGTTTCAAAGTTAATTTTCTTCATAGTGTTGATAGGTCCAGAAAAAAGGCAGGACCAGTCTAGAAAGGGCACCTAAGCAGGTAGTTTTATATATTTTCCTAAAGCCTAACTTTAGGAAAATAAAACCATATTAAGCATGATACTGTTATCAAACATATTAGCTGAACTGAATTCCCATACACTAGCACAGATTCATAAAATTTCTAGACTGCCTAACTCCAAAACCACTCTGGGCACACAGAGGCATACAAACACAAACAGAACTAGCAAAATTCAAACTTTTCAGTAAGCCAGGAATGTCTAAACAGCTGAAGTAACCAACGGCATGTTTTATTCAACAAGCTCAAATAAGAAATATTGCTACACAATTTAAATACCTGTTTGTTGGGAAATGCCCTGATACAACGGGTCTGATATTTAAGACTTGATTCTCTTCTCTGCTGAACATAGCCCATGTTCCGTAAATCCCACACCAGAACTCTTCGACCAGCTGTTCCCACTATCAGTCTGTCACCAGATACAGACAATGTATATACCTTGAAAAAAGATATGAAATATTTATTTATATATCAAATTTGTCACCGACCATCTTATTAAAAAGTGACTCTGGGTGGTTTACAGAGAAGATAAAATCAATTAAAATCCAATATAAAAACAGTCTTAAATAAATAATAAATTTCAAGAATGATGGGATTGACAAAATAGTTCAGGGAGTGACATCAGGGCGCCAGCATTACCCCATGAAAGCTGGCAGAGCCAGGTCTTAAGTCCTTTCCAGAAAACCAGGTGGACAGGTGCCCACTGCACCTCTGGAAGGACAATATTCCCAAGTGCGGGGACAACGGCAGATACCGCATTAATATACCTAATTTTAGTATATGTGCTGCTGAAGTTTAGTATACCAAGATCCTAACACCTGCCAGAATTTCAAAGGTATTACATATTTACTTTCCAAATAGGCCCAGAGAGAAAAATAATCATAAGTCTCATTCTAGAAAAAAATATAGATGTTAAGATAAAAGCCCAGTGATATATTTAAAAATCTGGTAAGTTAAAGCCACTATCCTCCTAAAGTAACCACAATTTGGCCAAAGATATTCTAAGGAATTTAGCCTGCCATAAAAAATTTTCTCATTAATCTATCTAAATGAAATATCTAATTGAAATCAACATGGGAGGGAGGAAGGAAGGAAGCAAGCAAGCAAGGTTGGTTGGTTGGTTGGTTGATGTAATATTTATTTAAATAACATTAATCTTAGTAAAAGACTTAATGGGAGTTTTGGCTATTGACATATATCCACTGAAATTACATCTATACTTTGATACATATTTAATTCAACATCCTGTGATAAACTTCAAGAAAAATGTAAACCCAGAGATGTATTTTACAGAATTTTACAAATTGCAAATCCTGATCTCATACAATAACCTATAGATATAGCAGATCCCAAAGGCAACAAATAAGATTTGCTCCAATTAACAGTAGAGCCAGAAAATAAACTATACTGCTGCACAAGCAGCTTTGTAATGACATTACATTACTATCAAGGATAGCCATATATGAACAATTTACATGCAATCTCAAGTTCTACCACACCTTTAATATCTTGATATTGATGACAGCATACCCAGAATTAACAGAAGATCTTTCCCACTTCCCAATGTAGAAGTGAAACAACAGTGAGAGAACTAGCCCCTAAGGAATCCTAGAGATGGCCCCAAAGCAGGCAATACATTGATAAGGACTTAACTAGGAGACTGAAGAAAAACTGTTATACAGGTAGTCCTCACTTAACAACCATTCATTTAACAATGGTTCAAAGTTACAACAGCCCCAGAAAAAGTGCTTACGACCTGTACTCGCACTTACAACCATCGCCAACATCGCACTTCCCCCGCAGTCACGTGATTGCAATTTGCGAACGTTTTTATGACAATCATTAACCAAATCACATGGTCGTTAAGCAAATTCTGGCAAAAAACATCCATTGAGGAAGCTGGATTCACTTAATGACATGATTTGCTTAACGACCAGTGATTTGCTTAATGACCATCGTAAAAATGGTCATAACATTGGGTCCGTCACATAAGACAACTTGCTTAATGACCGCCCCACTTAATGACCAATTTTCCAGTCCGTATTGTGGTCATTAAGCAAGGACTATCTGTAGTTCATATTGTAAGTAAGGTATACTTTTATGCTGAGTCTTATACTTTGGCTAACTAACTATATTTCTGGTTTACACAAACTAATTTCTTTGAGAAAAAAAGAAAAAAATACAATTTAGAACCCAGGAATACAAATTTAATAAGCAAAACGAGTTGCTTAAACTATGATTTTCTTTTATGTCTGGCATTTTAAAGCTAATTAATATGCCTTAAGAGACCCAGTTTGGTCTAGTGGTTACGATGTTGGACTAAGAGCAAGGAAATCATGAAAGCCAGCTGGGTGATCTTCGGCCAGTCTTTCCCTCACAGCCTTAGGAAGAAGACAATACCAAACCACATCTAAAAGTGCTGCCTAGAGGATCTGTCCATTTACCAGGGATCAAGTCTGACTCAAAGACACTGTCAAAGGCAAAACAAACAAACAAAGAAGCATCCTAACCACCAGTAAGTCTCCAGTTTTCTTCCACCATTTTTTTTCTGAATAGGAAAAGGAGACTTCACAATGTATAATTCCAAAACAATTAACTAATCTGGAAGATATTAACTTTTAATTGCTCAAATACATTCTAGTTACATGCAAAGCTTACTGTTCCAAGAAGGGAATATTTTGGAATATATTGAACATTCAATTTTTCTTCCTGACCAGACTAGTCTGGAACATCCAGATTGGCATGGTCTGCAAGAAAAATGAAATATTATGTTGTTCTATGGAATATTCCATTCACAGAAAAATAAGTTTTGCAAATCTTTATTGCACTCTTTAATTTTAACTACCGTATTTTTCCGACTATAAGACGATACTTTTTTCTAAAATCCTTACCCTAAAAATTGAAGGGCGTCTTA